CCACACGCCAGCATTCCTTGCGACTCATCACCTGCCTTACAGAGAGCCCTTGCCAGGCTCGCAGCTCTCTCCTCAAGGCGTCCATCCACGGATCTGGTCCACTCCTTTGTGCCGGTGGCACTGCACTCAAGATTGCTAGCTCGAACCTTCTCTCCGCCGTCCTTCCTGTCCGTGTCGTCTGGAGTGGGTGCAGCAGCATGATCTCGAAGACTGAGTGTCTTCTTGTCCACCGGGATTGATCGGCTCCTCAAACCGTTTGCGGCTCAGCTTCTTCAGTCGCTCGTTCGTGTCGGCAACGTTGTCGGGGAGACATTTGTGTGTGCTCGTGGTCACGTGGGTGCCAAGGAAGAGCAGCATCGGGTGGCGGCACGCTTGTCGTGTGGGGTGTCCTCTGCCCATAATAGTTGTTTTAGAGTGAATGTGGTTGCATGGTTGGATGAACTCTTGTTCAGGTTCTCGTCGTTGGTTCGGATGCGCTGGTAGGGCTTGGAGATGGCCTTTGCCTGCGCCAGTAGCCAATCAGAGGTGTTCGATCCAGCGACTGGTGACAGGTCCATCACACCACACACAGGCCGAGGTCTCGCGCCAGGAACACGGACATGGCCCCGGCTTCCATGAACTCGGGCTGTCCTGCCGCTGTCTACGTAAGACATACACGCAGCGGTCTCGTCATGAGCGTCTCATGAGGCGTGTCGCTGGGGATGTTGATGAGGGAGATGACTCGTACTCTGCGTCCTCTCGATGACTAGCAGCAGGGACTCCGTGTGCACCTCTCATGGGCTGCTCTGGACGACCTGTTAGGACACGGCTGTTGTGATGTGTTTTGTGGTGGGACTGCCAGTGGTTTTCAAGCGTGGTGTGTGTGGCTGTAGATGACTGCTGGGCTGAGGACGAGTGTGGGTGAGACAATGGCTGGGCTGGGGAAGACGACGAGGTACGGAGAGGATGCTGGGTCTGGCTGCTGGGAAGAGGCTTGGCCTAGTCGTGGGCCCGCTTCTCGCAGGAGCTGGCGATGTATTTCTTCTTCTCCTCCGTGTTTCCGTCTTCTTCCAGTGGACCTTGTCGTGGACGGACGACCACCTCTGTCTTGACGTGGTCTCGTCATGAGTGGTGTGCTGGTTGCGCTGGTCTTGGCTGCCAGTGGCTCCGGCTCCTCCCCAATCACGGTCTGTAGAGACGTCGTTCCCTGCCAGCATCATCACCAGTTAGTCAGTTTTCGTGTGGTGACTCCTCGCTTCATTTCTTCTTGGTACATCTTCTGGCACGTCTTCTTCATGGTGTTATAGAAGGCAAACATGTACACGTATCGTAAAGATGTGTAAAAGGGTGTTGTGTCAATAACATTCCTAGATACTGATTCCAAGTAACTACGTACAGTGCAATAGGAAATGGAGGGCCCTGGCATTGTGGCATCCCCAGCAAAGTTAGGCTGCCGGCATAAGGGTTTTAACGTACAGATGTATGATAATTGCCAGGGAAGCATAATCTCGACCGCCTTGTAGACATCGTGGTGTTTCCATGTACAATTTCGGTTGTTGTGTGGTTCTGTTCTGTCAAAGTTATACTGTACGTAGACCTGAGCTTGCGATCTGTAAAATATAGTTCTGACCTCGCTACAACTCAGATTTCACATAACCTAGATGCATGGTGTTTACAGTTAGCGAAAGATAGAGTGCAAAAGTTGGTGCAAGTGGAGAAAGAGAAGATGAGAGAGATGCTCACCAGTGGGGAATAGGGACTGGACTCTCTTTAGAACATGGTGATACTCTCCATCTCCCAGCCGGTAGAGGGCATCTGACACATACTCCCATGTCAGGTGAGGATGTTCAGTGGAAATCACTCTGAGCACTTCAGCTTTCCTCTCCTTACCACTGGACAACTGAGACTGTATCTTATTCAGTGTGGACAGTGGCACATCCATCCATTTACCAAAGGCCCACCACAGTGTGTCAGGTAATGAGTCCAGAGCTGACGTCAGGTTGGAGAGAGTGAGGCCGTTGTCTGTGAGGATCAGAGGAACACTTTCATACAACATTCATAACTGACATGACCAGTCCACCACTTTTTCTTGTCATATCAATACACCACCCACTATACTGTAGTATGTAAGCCAGTGTCATGAATAACGTTGTCCGTGATGAATTACAGAGAGTGGGTGGGTTCTTACACATCTCAGCTATTTACAGCAACCAAACTCACAAACTATGGCTTACGCATACTCAATATACGTACACATGGACAGAGTATTACAGTACTGTACTGCACATGTACATTTTCATACTGACCATGTGTGTGTGGTAGGTATTGTCTGACAGTCTCCAGGGCCGTGTGCTCCTCCAGGAACCATAACCCACCAGCTATCTTCCCCCACGACACACCAGGTACAGTATGGAGGCAGTACTGCAGACCAACCACTCTCTTCTCTTCTTCACTCGAATATGATCCACTGATCACTGGCTCGGGAACGCCAAGTACACTCAGTAACCCATTCTCAAACCCAATACTCCAGAACTGTTTCACAGTAGCCACAGCACGTGCTACAGAGTGTGGAGTGAGGCTGTCATCTGGAGGGAGGAGGGGCAGGAGTGACAGTAACAATCACAAAATGACTAACATCTTCACCAGTCTACAGACTGGACTGGCCATGATACCACCTGTTCCCCATCATTTGTAGGTGCATGTAAGTTACAAACAATTGTTGCAGGTATAAAGGAATTTGTGTCAGTACATAAGAAGGGCTAAATTTTTAAACTAAACAATGCAGATTTCCGTACAATATTCTCTTCACTGCTACAGTTTCTTTAATTAGTAGAAACTTTAATTGAACATGTGCAATGGTAACAGGCTCTTTGGGGTGCATGAGCTGCGTGGGTGAATGCACCCCAATTAATTTTTAGACCGTTGATCATGATTAGCCAGCCAAACATGTTGGTTGCTATGGATACACGTACCAGTGAGAGGTTCAGCATTAGATCTTATAGAGTCGGCCAGCTCTGTTTCTTCCATCTCGTCCAGGGCAATAATGAGTCTCCTCCAGCTGGCTAGAGGGTCGGTGTTGATCCAGTACGATATAGCCTGCTGCTTTTGATCCATCTCATCTGGGAAGTTGGCCGTGATCTCTTTCTGCTTTGATTCAGGTATGCGAAGCCAGCATGTCAATGACCCACTCCACTCTCTACTCCACCACCTCTTCACCTCCCTCACTACTGCCAGTACATTGGAGGTAGTGAGGGGAACACCTGCCATGGAGTACACACATGTAGTGATGTATAGCATCCGTACTCTATATAGACTCTGAACTAGCTCATTAATTTTCATTCGTGAATAGTGTAATGCACGTGACCAGAGGAGGTTGCACACAATCAAACATTCATAAGCTGTCCGCGCATGCGGCTAAAATGTAATCAAGTATCGTAGCTGCGAAAGGAAGTGGCTCTGGCTGGTGTTCAGGCGGGCCAAGACCTTGCTATCTCTCGATTGTTTATATGTCCAAGTGTGTACCACGGAGAACACTCGTAGCCTTGCAAACACCAGTGTGTCGTTCTGCAGAAATTGCTGACTCAGTGGGTTGACTTGGTTGACACGTGCACAACCTCCTCTGCCCGTGGACCAGACCCTTTGTGAGGTGCTTGCGCACGTAATGTGGGTGGGGCAAATGGCCTTTCATAAATGGTCACGAGACTACGGAGGGGTGTGGTTTAGTTGACTGGGCAGGGAGGCTGAGTCAACAGGAGGTCTTTCAAAGTTTGCTAAATGAGGCAGTTGGGATCATCCCACCCACCTTCTATAAAATCAATGAAAGATCTTTTTTAGGTCTACATCCTTTTATGTAAAGTACAGCAACTCTCCCTACAACTTCACCCAATTACACTAGCTATTATCTAGTCACTGAACTGTGCCCAATATACTTACTTCGTTTCCCTCTCAGAGTGCTCTGGGCCATTTTACTGGGTTACTGTCAGTGGGAGAGAGAGAGGCTCTGCGGCTTCCTGGACAGCAGATGAAGGCCGCGCTCAGTCCGGCACACGGCCGGCTGGACGGTCCCCCTCGACGTGTAGGTGTGTGTACGTGTGTCAGAATACGAGCCCCACCCACAAACCAAATGCGCATGCGCGCGTGGTGGCCCGATGCCTGCAGTGATCAGCTCATCCTCAAATTTTGTATGAAAGATCCCTGTACTGCGACGAGTCCCTCCACTAGCTCCTATCCTCCACGAACCAGAGTTCATTCTCCAGACTGGTCCCTTCAATCAGCCCCATTACTGTATTGCATCTTTATCTTCCTCTTGCTAAAGCGGTTGCAAGAGACTGTAGCACAGACAAAAATAGGCCATGGGCACATTCCTTTTGCTTCACACCTACTATGCACATGCGGAAACTCTTTCTCCAATATACCAGGTAAAGATTAATTACTTTTATTCTTCGCTCCTAACTGTGCCAGGAAGCAGCACTTCCACCACTTATAATCAGGTTTCACTTTTGGAAGAGGATATTTGAATGAGGATGGAGTCTGTTGTGGAAACTCATTGTTGTCTGTAAGATTGGACTACATAGTTGCTCCTGGTCAGCTAGGTAGGAAAGTATATGAGTCATGACCCCACCCACAATCCTAAGTTGGCATAACTTGCGCTTGTTAACAAACACAATAATGGTACACAGAACACATCATGTTATGCCACAATCATTTGGCAGTTCCTCTGCCATGTCTCTGGTCAACTGAAGGTAAAAGTCCGGCCTCCCAGGAGAATAGTCGAGATAAGTTCTGGACGACGTGATTTTGGGGACGGCAGGCTCAATCTGTGTGCCCTCTCCCCACTCATTGAAGGAGGTAATGGACACCAGTCCTCCTCTACTGCTACGCTTCGCTCTCCTGAAGCCCTCTTTGTAGTAGGCTCCGTTTTTCCTGTCCCGAGTACTGAGTCTGTTCCAGGGGCGCACCTGAAGATCGTCGTAGCCCGGCCCGAAACTGGGGATGAAAATCAAGTTCTTCTCCGCAGCAAACTCGGACACGGTGCCCCAGTTGGTGTAAGTGGACCCGAAACTGAAGCCCTCGGCGGCAAAGTAAGTGTAGACTCCGTCGAATCCTCCGTCCACTGCAGACTTCATGTGGGCGTGCTCCACAAGCAGAGCTATGGCAACACAATCCTCGTCAGTACCTCGTACGGAGAGGGGCCCCCCTCGTTTGAAGATAGACGCCCACTCTCTTGCGTCACTGAGGTAGGAGTCATAGATATAGATGAGAGGAAGGTGGAGCATCGCCCCATCATTAGGATCCAATCTCTCCAGCTTATAGAAGGCAGGGTGGTTGCTGTAGTGGGAGTGGATGTATTGGAGGTCTTCCCGCACTGATTGCGGGGTCCTCCCCTTGTACGGCTCAATATGAAGGGTGAGTTTGATGTCGTGTGCAAGGGCGGCGTCCAGTAAAACCGGAATGACTGGATCAGGCGGGGGTCCCTCTTCGTCAGCGAGACCCGCCGGGTACCACGAAACAACGATCACTCCCACACCGGCCACTCGCAGCTGAGTTATGTGAGTCGCTACTACAGCCGGATCCCGTGAGCTGTAGCAACCGAGCTCTGGGTAGAAACTGGCTCCAATGTCGTCTGGAGGGACGTGTCTCCCCTGAGGATATTTGCTAGTTACACTGTCCTTCCAGTGGGGGAGGTAGCGGTGGTTCCAGTGCATGTAGCGGCCATCTGTCTGCACGTTTCCATACCAGGCGTAGTAGAACGCATGGAGACAGGGATTTGGCTTGGGAAGGGTGAGGTTTCAAATGACGACACAGACACACATTTCATCATCAGTTGTTTTCTTTTTTTACCATTAGGCCACTCCAAGTTGCATTCTGGTTTCTGGTCAGAGCCTTTTCAAGTCAAGATGCAGAGGGTTTACTCATTATGTCATTAGTACACTTAGTAATATGACCACAAAAATTCATAGTGGGAAGACAGTCAAAACGAGACAAGTGCAAATCCCATTAGTACAACACTGCACTGTAAAAAATTACCAAAACTGCTTCTCTTGAAATGGGGTGCGGGTCTCGGACCAGAAACCGGTATACAACTTGGAATGGCCTTATAGCAATTTAAGTCTCAACGCGTAAAAAAAGCGTCTTGTTCCATCCGAAGGTAGGGAATTTTGAATGAGTGAGGCGTTGCTAGCTTGTGCTACCCATTTGAACGCGCAAACACCAATCAGATACTACCGGTCTAAAACCGGTTGACGCGGAAAGCTCGGTTTG